TTTCAGTGAATCATCTCCATGGATCAAATTCATGAGGAACCTATACGTCTTAATGGAATTCGGTCTGACGTGTCACTTGGACATTGGCTGAGAGACTGTTAAACCTCACTGTCCTAACTTTGGATTGGGCGAGACGCGCTTCGATAAAATGTTGGCTTAATGAAACTCGTGGTTGGCGTCAGTGTACATGATGCTGACAAAACTGCAATCTAACCCTATTGTAAGGTGGGAAATTGTGTCAGAAAATCATGTTTGCGCTGAGTGTGATGGCCTAAAATAACTGCGATCTTGCATTGAACTAAAAAACTCACTCGAAAGCAAACTGCGATCACGTGTATACCACGCTGCTTTCGTTTAGTCAACACCCGACTCGTTCCGTTTGAATTTTGCTTTGTTCAAACAAAGGCAAAACGCTTATTGCAAGTGCATATCACGCTTCAATTGACCTTGGCAACTAGAAGTGGCGTTTTAACTGACAGTCTAAAATTACATGGCATTCACTCTCTCCCAGCTATGCTGAAAACAAGATTCTTGGCAGCGGTTGGGTTATTTTTGATATGCCATTGAATGTTTACATTGAAATCGAGCTGCATAAATTGAACGTCGCAATTGGTTAAGAATGTCTTGAAGATTGTCTAGACATTTGACGGTATCAGATATCTTCTATCAAGGGCTCTGTAAAGCATTGGAGGACTCAAGCCCGAGTTCTTTAAAGAAATCGAGCCTTTATTGTTTATCAGACCACCCAATCAAATAGTAATGATGTGGATCTAATAGGGAGACTTGCATTGTCGTACTAGGGTTAAGACGTATTCGATCAAGCCGAGGTCAAACACCCCTCGGTCTCTATGCTTTTGAATGACCTGCGAGGAATATCACCGGCCAACCAGCGACAAGGCTAACTAAGAAGCACACTATATAATGCACCGCACAATCAATACGGATGACTAGGGTGAACAATGCGTGATGGATTGCTCTGGCTTGTGATTGGTCAATTAGGTCTGATCCGTTGTATCTGTGCCGCAGGCTTAAATCAATAGTGATTGGTTGACGCATGAGATATGCGGCTGATTAATTGCACAGCCTTGTGTGGACAGCTAAGAGTGCACTGGACAGTTGGCGTAAACACGAGTGCAAGTTACCAGTTACTACCTTGCTTGAAGATCAGACAGCGTCCAATAAAGCCCTGCAATTCAGACTAACTTGTTTGTCGACGCGGATGCGTGTAAAAATAGCCTGCAAAAACAACTCCAACGGTCGTAAATTTTCAGCCAATGAAGACACTGTGTACGTGATTCATGCTAGCGGGCGAACGCGACTTCGTTTGACACGCCAAACGCCTACACAATGGTGTCAATGAGCGGGATTTTAAGTGCCTCTTGAATCGGAAATTTTTGCCCTCCAACGACGATGAGAAAGAAGACCTCGATTAGACAATTCAAAATCGAGCTTCGCAGTCAGGCAATCGATCATTGTGTGCTATTCACGTACGAAAAGAAGGAAAAAAACTCCGGAACCAAAAGCGAAGGCGCCAAAACCGAGGATGTCATTGCGCCTCAAACCGTCCCTCCCCCCACCGACGTTCTGGGGCATCAACGCTCACCCCGCGTCGCCAGACCGAGGCCGCCCTTCCACTCACGGCGCTCAAAAACACGAGGGGTGGCGAGACTAACATTGAGCCCCCGACGCCTCGATACTCCCTCTTACACTACCCAGGTCTCTACGCTCAAATTTGGATGGAAGAACCACAGCTACAGTCCACCCCGAAACACCACTGATAGGTATTTCCAGAACGTGGGATTCGCGTTCCAGTGCATACCTCCAACACCGCGCATACCCACCTCACTAACACAATAGAAAACACACCATCCATCAAAACGCATCTGTACAAATGAAAAAAAAGGAGGAGGACACGGTGACGTAGAGGCGATTAGTGTATGTACAGGGGACAGGGTCGGGCACGCAAAGGAATCACTTGGAGGATGGTGTGAGGCTGAGATGTGGCAGGAACGGCCACTGACCATCGAAAACGCACACACGAACACACAAAACACATTTGTTTGGCCCATCTCTGAACAGGCTTTTGGTCGAATGGCCGGAGTCATCTGGGTGGGTAGGAGGGCGACTCACCGCAATGAAAAGGGTCTGAAAGGGAAAGAGGAACACAAAAGTTATATACAAAAGTGATGCGAGAACACGATCCACCGGGTGGACAACACGCGGACACCCAATGCGGGCATAATTCGGCGTAACTCGTCGTTAAAATTCCCTTTTTTCCGTTAAGTTTTAAGTCGCGGCTTGTAAACTAAGAATTTGGCATGTACCTCCTTTAATATAATTTGTAGACATCACCGTTAGCCGAACTCAAAAGCTATAAATCTAAAAACTCTAAATGGCAAAACAAAGTCAGATTGGCTAGTCTTCACAAAAAGTGGTGATCAATGGACAGCGGATACAAGACTGAAACCTACCCGAAGTTGGGCTTGGGGACCCGTACTCCGAACGCGATAATTGGGACCTCCTTTCTCACGTGAACATTACGAACTAAAGAAGAAAGCGAATGACGTCCATAGCAGAATAACCACACCTCATGAACCACGGACTACATCACACGTATAAGGCCTTAATGACTGCTGCCGTCCATCCAGACTAGATCAGCATTAATTGATACACAAACCGACCTCTTGTAACTGA